CGCGCGGTATTCGCGTACAATGGGACAATACGGACGGTGGACGGCGCGTTGAAAGTGTAGGCCACACGTAGAGAAAAATAAATTAACGACTTGGCCCTAATTGCACGTTCAGAATTTTACGGCTGACCCTGTCGTACATGTGATGTAGACAACATTACGAACGTGTATATACACGCCGCGGTGGGCTGGGGACGGAGGAGTGGGGTGACCGGTAATTACTTTGAGCGTGTTCCCGTGGACGATAAAAAATCGGAATGAAATGGTTTATTAATTACGTATTACTTAATCACCCGGGCCTGAAAAAAGACTTAACGGATAGAAGCTGCATCCTGGTTTCTTTCGTTTCGGACACGATGAAAGAATCTGCGACTCGTCTCGCGGGACGTTGTGGCCCGTACATTTTTGGCCAAACGTTCACTTTTAGAAACAAGGATGACCCCCTTCGCATCAGCTCGTTTCACGCGTCCGAATCGTTGTGTAACAAGCCCCGTGGACTTTTTTCTGACCGCTTTTTATCGCTCGCGCGTCTGCCTGATGTCAGGTGTCGAAACTTCTGCCTCGAATTAACTACGATTGTACTTGGTCACGCGGATTCGCGGACGCCGTCGCCGATGCACAATAGCCGGGAGCTATTTCGTTATGTAAAGTGGCGACGAAAAAGAGAGAGAAAAAAGGAGATGAGACGGCGACGCGTTATTCAAATTGTTTACACAGCAAATACGAATGGACGTAACATAACCGTTGTGAAACAAACCTAAGTATGCCGAAGCGATTCGGTCGTGTCTCGCTGCTCTCTTATCTCACCGCGGGATACGTTTATCGCGAAAAAATAGACTTTTATCCCGTCGTTAATGCTAAGGTTTTCCATAAAACGTCGATCCAACGATTTTATCGTCATCGGTGGCCGAATCGACGTTCATAACGAGATGGCCTTCGTAAAAATCCTTCAAACTTTAGAACCGAGAGCAAAGGCTCGGCAATAAAACGAGTTTCGGGGACACGCGTCTTCTTATTATATGTTTATTTCCCTCACTACACGGCGAGAGGATTGTCGCAACGGGCCAGCGCGGAACGTTGTAGACGTTCGATGGACAGAATAACAGAATTCAATGCTTTTAGAACTCACGTCATCGCATTAACGAATTCGCGATCGATCAGCCACGATTTAAGGTGGTCCTTCATGGACTTCGAAGTCAATTGAACGCGTATAAGAAAAGGTTACGAAAATGTTCGCCTATAAAAGGGATTCACAGACTCAAGAATTGCACCGAAGTTCGATTTTAATTAAATCATCAAAATGTCTACTTCGACTAGGTAAGAAGAATCTCTTTTGAGTCTGATTCGACTATCGACCCTGTTGGGAATCTTTGGTTTAGAAGAACCAGTAATTGTTTTACTCTTTGTTATTTTTTGATAATCAAGACGCATTCTCCGTGAAGAAGTTATAATATGCAATACATTAATTGATAAAAATTCTCTGATTAAGAAATCAGTATTGATGTTAAATCGGATTGTATATTAATAATATGATTGCTCGAAAGTTGTGTGACTTATTGATATTGCCACGTTTATTAGAAATGACAGACTGCGCGGGGTTTAATATTCACGGAGGAAATTGAGTTCGAAACAGGTTTCATTATCAAATCGCATTGACGGTGGAAGAAAAAAAAGGCGAGTCGTAGTTGAAGTACGGTGACTTGCGAGTTTGATTAGATAAAGTTGATGCATCTGCTCATTTACGGGAGTACTTTTGCAATGATCATTGGCAACACTCCGACTGCATTAATTTGTGAAGAAATTAAATGGAAAACCATGGGAAAGCATTGTCCAGATTAATATACGCTCGAATCAGACGGGTACAAAAGTGAAAATCACAGACGGAGTAGTCTTCTTAAAAACTTGGTCTAAGTAAATGTTTTATCTCAATCTTATCGTTTCATATTGTCTCAATGTGAACAAAATGTTGAACGAACTTCAATATAGTATAATTATCACTGTATCAGATTTTATAATTGCAAAAGTAGAGTGTTTCCGCGGGCTCGTCCGGGATTTGAACCCGGGACCTCTCGCACCCGAAGCGAGAATCATACCCCTAGACCAACGAGCCGGTTGCGAGCTTCGTTCTTAATCAAATAAAAATTGTCCATCAATATTTATAACAATCTCTATTGCAATATACAAGGTGTCCCAGAAAAAGTGTTAGTGCCGAAAAGAGGTGATTCTGGAGGTGTGTCTGAACAACAATTTCTTTTAGTAAAATACAAAGTGAGCCATGGTTTTTGAATTATTAACGAAAAACACTGACCTATGAGAATACGCGTAGGGCCCGCGCCCAGCCACGGGTTGGTTGGCTCGAAACGTGATGCTCGGCCGTGGCATAGCGCGGGCCATACGCGCGCTCTTATTGGTCAGTGTTTTTCGTTCATAATTCAAAAACAGTGCCTCACTATGCATTTTGGCAAAGGAAGTTGTTGTTCAGAAACAGTTACAGAATCACCTCTCTTCGGCTCTAACACTTTTTCTGGAGCACCCTGTATAATATAATAATTTACGACACGATTATGGATCCTATTTCTGCAGTCTCATACATATAAAACAAACGATTAGATCGTCAGATAAATTTCTTTCCAATAACGAAGAATCATCGTATAATAATTTGTCGATGAGAGAATTTCTAAACGCGGAATTGACATTCTGTGGCGGCAAAGAATAATCGCTACGCATTCCGTCGACTCGTTTCCCTAATTGATCGTCCGTGGACGTAGCTCGCGTAGGATCTCGCGTTTTTGCCGGGGCGCCGAGAATTCTCCGCTACCCTGGGAATGAACACAATCGTACGTCGAAGTCCAGCGTAGCGGATAAAGGAAAAAGTGTTAATTAGCTCGTTTGAATGGGGACCGGGGAGACGAATTTCTCGGAGTTGGTGCACGTGGCGGCACCTATGATACAAACGTTGCATTCGTGATTAGCGTTGCGTGTCTCGTCCTCGCGATCGCTTCGTCAGTAAGATAATCCCCCGTTTCAATCTCTCGCAACTATGTTGCGGAAAGGTCAAAAAGTGCATAATTACCCGTCACCGTTGATACGTCATTACGTGACGTAGTAACTCGTGGAGGTTAAAATTTCACATGTTTTTTTTTACAAACAAATTTTTATATTCAACTTTTTATACAAAACAACGCGTAAAATTTTGAGCTTAATCTGTCGTTGTCATTGTTTTATAAAAAAGAAAATATCATTGATCGTTGATATCTATTATTATTGATGCCAAATGCTGAGAGATTAATTAATCGCAGCTAAGCGGCTTAAAAAACGCAATGACGATAGATCGAATTTTCACGAAACTAAAATCTTCGTTCGTGGCAACAACCGTTTCCTGTTCAAGGTGAAAACAGCTGTTGAGACAAAGATGTCTTAGCATAAAAGAGAAACTACCGAAATTCCCCGAGGACGCGGAAAAACGCTAAAAAAAATGAAAAAAGGACGGTCAGCTGTAGTGATTTTTAAATCATTCTTCGGTCGGATTGTAGGCCATTTTTTTAAGCACTACGGGTCACTTTTTACCGACCAGGCGACAGTTCGCGACCATAAAGATTAGTGGAAAGCCTGTCGTAAAAATAGACGCCGAGAAACGCAGTTTTCCGAATATATTTTACAACGGTTTCTAGAATTTCTTTGCTACCCTTCTGTGTACATATTCCATTTTAATTGGAACCTTAAACTACCTAGGAGACCGATTTAACCGATTCCTTGACCATCATCATTATTTCAGGATATTTTCCTCTTTCCGCACACAAAACAATACCAACCATTCCTCAATATTTGGCCCACGGCTAGTGGTAAGTCTTTGTCGAGTTTAGTCGTTATCTTGGAAACCCTCAATTTTACTGGGAACGTAGGTAGGACTTTAGGATGGACTAGCCTGAACGACCTTGGACAAAAGGGGAACGTGCACGCTTTACCCTTGCAATACCGATTGCATTTCTATCATAAAAAGCAGTTTTACGAGTGTTTTGCAAACTGCTCGAACTCAGTTCGCTGCCATTACCATTGTTACATTGTTGACAAGAAAAATTGTAACTATGAATAAAAAACACGTGATCGTTCTCAATTGTTATATTGATAAGAAGCGCTCGTCTAATCGCTTCGCTGCCCAAAGACTGACCTACGGTAATTAATGAAAGAAGATACAACTTTTCGAAATCATAGTCTCGAGTACTAAAATGCACATTACGTTAATCATATACAACATATGTAATGACCAAAATGACCTTTCGATAAAATGACTTTTCAATTTAATGGCTTAAAACACTTTGCGCCCATAAACATTTAATTAATGAAAATTCATACAATTATTTCACAAGAATGGTTAAGAACAATTGTCCTTAAAATCGCTAGCCGATTTCAGCTAAGGGAATATCTTGCCATAAAATTGTTATTATAAATGTATTAGTTTCTGGGTAACCGGAGTCCAAAAGAAAATTTTTACATTTATATAGCCTCGTAAAAAATTCCTAAAGAGCAATTGAAACATCACGAGACTAAATGATTGACCTTAAGTGTATTTTTTGTGAAATGGACGAATCATTGTACGTCTGCGTAAGTACATAAGAATGGAAGAAACGAGATGCAAGTAAAGCAGAGTCCCAACGAGAACAATACTGCCCCACCAAGAGCTTCTGGTGTGGTCGAGGCTAAGCCGGTGAAAGAGGAGGGAGTGGAAAAAGTGCTCGGGACCGCAAGATCGTTATCGATCTCGTCAGCTTCACCGCGCGCTTACATATCTCGAGTCCAGCAGATCTCACCTCGAGAGGGTAGGAGGTGTCCAGGTAAAGGAGGAGGTAGGGAGGCGAAGAGAGGGATAGAACAGTAAGGCCCCTCCCTTGTGCTCCCACCTCGCGGGCTCGGTGGATCCCTCCGGTCGTCCGGTAAGAACTCCCCACCCAAGGAGACCGAGAGAGGACCCGTAGCCCACCTGTGCCCCGGATGGATCCTGCATGCTTCTCCGCTGATCCGGCGCACAGTGTGCCCATAAGGCCCATTCGAAGTATACTTACGAGAGCGCGCGAGCTCTCGAGACTAGCGGGCGAGCGAGCGAACCGACCGATCGGCACGGCCGAAGTGGGACCGCAGAAAATAATTGGAGGTGGGGGCTGATTCAACAATCGACGTGGACACCCTCGCCTTCCAAAGTCATTCACCTAACGGTCATCGCCGCGTCAAGAATCTTCTTCATCTTCTTAACTCTTTTTCCTGTTGTTCGCTCGACACCTCCACCGTTATACGATCGAACCGAGGAATAATTACGCGGCGTGTCCTTTAGACGCTCGAGTAGAAACAGACACTCGGGCGAGTGCGATCGGACAGAACAGTGATCTTGTTTTCGTTACGAGGATTCTCGAAGAAAATTCAAGTGACACCTCGGAGTGGACTAATTACCGATCAAGAATCGTGGACCGTTAACATCAATCTCTATTTACGCCTGATGTTGTTCACAAGAGGACTCAGTGAGTTTGTCAGTGCACCAGGTATCGACTGAATTTTCGGCTTCGATCAACACGGGATTCCCGACACGTGACGTTTCGACGATTCCCTCCGAGTGATTGACAGTGTCGGATCTGTTCGCAACTATCATGGTGATAAAGTGTTGGTTGCTGTGACACAAGGAGCGGAGCATTCATCGATCACCCTTTGATGAACTTCGCGCAGCATTAATCGTCCCGACGTTCTAAGGTATGTTGATTCGCGAAATACGAACAATCGAATATTCGAAACGTTCCCAAATTAGGCAGTTGGTAGTTTACAAGTCGCAACTGTCACCGAGTGTCAATAAAAAAACGAATCCCACACATAACACGTTTATTTACCTCGAACTAGTTTCTGTATTGTTCCGCGAAGTCGTCCGTTCTCGCGTTTAAGTGGAAACTGATCAACCAGCATTATGACATCTACGAGTCGAGGAGAAGAACCGAAGGACGATCGCGTTTCGCAATTTGGAACGCGTGCCGCCGACGACGACCGATTTCTTTGTCTCTGATCGTGACACAAAACGAAAATCGTCACGGTTCGACAAGATTTCGACGATACCGACGTACGTCCGACACGAGAATTCACCGGCGCGCGGCGATAAGGTCGCCGCGGCACTCCGAAGGCCTTCGGGCGTCGTGATTAGGCTAATTATTTGATTCACTAGATGTTCCGCAACGCGAGATCGTATCTGCTTCGATTTTAACGATATCGGAGCAGAATATTCCCACTGTGAATCACGGCGGGTAATGAAACAGGGGTTTCAACGAGAGGCATAATTTCTAGATGTGTCATTTGTAAATATCCTGCTAACGAGCCCGTATTATATGGCCAGGCGAAATCGTGCTAGAGATTTAGAGCTAGATACAGTGGTTGGAAAGAGAACGAGGACTGCACGTTACGTGCATTGCGTCGCATTACGTTCCTGTCCGAGCATATATTTGACGGTCGGGCACAATAGCATACGGTACACGGAGCGCATTGCGCGATAGTTAGATAGGAATCAGAACGAACTGGCTATCGAACAGCGATAGAATAATAGCATCGGAAACAAACGGTCCACGGTTGCATCGCGCGAAGGCCGGTCGTTGCGGCGCACGCGTTCCGGAACGCCGCCGCGCTGTTTCGTTTCGAAACACCGGAAGCAGCTCTCCGCAAACTGGATCGCGCCGCGCCGCGAAGATGAGATCGGAAGACACGGAAGAGGCTCGTAATCGTAAAAAAACTTACGAAACTCGCTGCGCCCATCCTTTCGCGGATACCCTCTATATTTACGTAGGCTCGACCTCTTCAAGCGACATTCCAAAATGTTTGGGATAAGCAAGAATCTTTGGTAAAAAAACGTAAAATATAGCGGCTTTTTAGTACGATTTGTCCCTGATAATTACGGCTGGGAGTTGCAAGCAGTAAAAAACTGACCTGTCCGAGGTCGAACCGCTTTTGGTCAGCTCCAGCTTTTCTTTAGTTCTCGAGTAAAGACGAGCCCGAGAAGCAGTCTTCCGCTAATAAAAAGTGAAGTAACGGTCACTAGTCCAGAGGTAAAAAAAACCGTAATTTTTTTCGTAATCCCTAGCTTGAAAGTCGACAAACATAAGGAGAGTAAAAGAGGGTAACCGACTCGGGCGTCTCGGGGGAGGGGGAGTACAGGTCGTAAAGCATCCACGCTAAAAAGTCTGGAAAACGGAACTAAACCGAGTTCCGCAGTCTCTCGCTCGTGGATAGAGGAAAATTCTATTGTCGTGCCGGAGTCAGGAGACGTGCCGCGACGAAAGTAACGAGACGTCGGTCATTTAAAATAGTTCCGCTAAAACAAATCGCGCGGCAGACTTTCACGCGGCATGTAAATGAAGAAAGAATCCACGAAACCTCGCCTCCGACCGGACGGTGTCACCGTTTAATTAATGCTGGACGCGGATGGTGACTGGTCGCTTTTAGCAAAATCCACCGTCCGTCGCTTCGGCGCGTGCATGTGTCGGAGGAAGGTACCGAGCGGAAGAGCAGCGCGGTAGGTGTTTTTATCGAGAAGGTCAACTCTAGAAAGGAGGACAATCACCGGCGCGGCAGCGCAGGAACTTCGATTGATCCCTTTGAATCGTACGAACGCGCCACGGTGCCAGTCGAACCTTCCCGTTCCACGTCTTTACGTAGAATCGAGACGATGATCGAGCGAACTGGCGGGGGAGACGATTGCGCTGAAAGTTACGAGCCGCGCGAACACTCGTTACGATTCTCACGGCTAGGCTACGATCGAGTAGCGCAACAACAATTGCTTCGATCTCGCCTCCTGGCGATCGACGATGATCTTGACGACGATCATTACCGTCCGCGAAGGTGAGATCGTATGAAAACATACCGAAGAGGAGCGTCTCTCGACGGCCTCTACTCATTCGAATTCCTCTCGATAGGCTTCTCATTATAACAGAACTTTCTCTCTTTTGTGATTCACTCGTTCCTGCGAACGACGAAGGACGCTTCCCGTTATCAATCTCTGAGCCGTCCTCGCGTTTACTCGAAAATAATTATCCCTCGAACGAGCATTGTACGACCATTAACGACTCGCGGTGGCGCGGCGGTAATTTCGCTAAGTAACTTCTAAACAGAATCCTATATCGGCGCAAACGTTAGACCGGGCTTAATTAATCAGCAGTTTTATTGTGCCGACGGAGAGGCCGTAATTAAAAGTCATTTGTTAGAAGAACGTCGTACCATCTATCATTCTTTTCGCCGTCGCGTATATTCTATTAAGACCACGAGTCACGGGTATCGCCGTGTAAAACTGTATATCCGTTGCGACACGCGGGAGCGTAACAATACGATTTAAACGTTGCAACTCGCATTCGACGTGAAACGCTCGAGTATGCAGGGAACCTCCCCGAATGGCTCGCCGGATGCACACCTGCAATCAGTCCGGGTTGCGATACCTTGGCCGCGTGCACTGTCAAGTGTCTAACCCGGGACTTCGCGAGCCGATCGATTCTCGAGAGGCCGGCATCTATCGGTAATTAATAGCGCAGAACAATCCCTGTGCCGAGCCCAATATAGGCAACGAGCGACGCATCCCGTCTTGAAATATCAACCAGACCTGGAGGCTATATTTAACGAGAATACACCGTCATTTAAATTCAATTAACCGCTCATATCTTTCTCTCTCGAGCTCCGTCCGTTACTCCGTCGCAGCGTTCGATTTCGCGAGGACAATCGTCGAGGTCCAACAAGCAAACCGCGACGATTGCCTCACGCGGATACGCCAGTTTTTCCGCACGATTCGAAAATGCTCTGTAGCAATACTGTTAGCACAATCTTGTGAACAGATCAGGTGTCTCTCTCTATTTTTAACTCGCTCTCCGTTTTCGAAGTAGAAAACGATCGTTTCACCTGAACGTGTTTCGTCGGCCGGCCAATTCGCCCGATAACAGATGTATTAAATACCGTGACATACGCGTGAACTCAAGAAAGTCGCGGAAGGAGAAAACCGCGGGTTTGTGGCCAAACAGAACAGAATCGGACGCGGAATTAAAACGGACGCGTAGGCACGTCGAGGCATCGTGCGAGCCCGGGAATGAGTAGTGTCAACGACTGTGGGGTGTAGGTCAGGAAAGAGAGACTCCGTTGATCAAACAATCGATGTCTCTTCCATTAGCTGAGATTTACTTTCCCATTTAGCGACAGTCTGTCATGTATGAAAGTCGCCGCAGGTGACACGGCGCGAGTTGCCCTCGGGCTACGTATGTGGGTCACTACTATTCGTCCTATATTCCCTTCTCCAACCTTCATTGTAATTCACTATGCAGACGCGGTCGTAAAAAAAAAAGACGAGCGAAGAAAAAGAGAATCGCGACGCGGAGTCACTTTTTACGAAAACTCGATCACGACACGGTAGACGAATTTCCAACGCGGTATTACCTGAGATATCGTTATGCAAAAGTCTTACGATTTTACGAGCGCGGAACGGAGAGACAGCGGAGCGGGTGAATAAGGAAGCGGCGAGGTGTGAAAACGAGACCGCGTGGCCGCAATCCGTTTTCTGGACGAGCGGCCAAAGAAGGCGAAAAGAATCGGCCGGACAGAAATGAAGAATCGCTGAACGGGGAGAGAGTGAGACGGATGGATGAAACAAGTGCACCGGAGGGTTTTCCGCTCGTTGAACGTAACACGCACCGCTTTGCCACGATCCAGCGATTCGCGCGTACCGCGCTAACCGGCGAGTTGCGTAACCAGACTTCTTCTCTTTCTCAATCGGTGCGATCAGTCGTGGACGCGCGATAAGGTTCGCATTGTGATTTCGTCGAACGTTTGAAATATACGCGAGCGAGTTACTCGGCTGGCGACATCGATTTTGTTTCCCCCCCGAAGCAACGGACGGTTTCGTCATTTACCGTAACGGAAGCCCGTAATCGTAAGAGTTGCAACGAGTCCTGGCCAGGCGCGTTGCACTCGCCGAGTCGATAGATGTATTCCTTCGAATCTTTTTCTCGGGACGAATTCAAACACGGTCGTTATCTTTCTATTGCAGATGAATCAACAGTGCAAGGTGTGCGGAGAGCCTGCAGCAGGCTTCCATTTTGGCGCGTTCACCTGCGAAGGCTGCAAGGTGAGTCTACACTGAATCATTTTCAAGATACGAACAGGTTTCCTGGGAATTCGATGGTCAGATAATCGTCAAAATTGATAGACTTATGTTATTTGCGTCGATAATTGAAAGGCCTCGTAATTCGGAGACGATAAATTTCAATGTCCGATGGTTTCTCTCGGTTGCCTCGAACGCACAGGTCATGAGGAAATTATAAAATGCCAACTGGGTGCAAAGAACGCAAAAGTTTTCCATCTGGTTTTTTTTTCTGTTTCTGCACACCGTTAGTCCTTTCCGTAGTTTCGCAAAGCTGAGAAACGCTGATCGCTTTCACGAGCCGCTTCGTGGCCGAGGTTAAACGTTTGACTAGGCATGCGTGTCAACCGGGTCCCCCCGAAAGCGACGCAGACCATGTTTGGCGAACCGATGACCGATCGCCTGTGTAAGGAGAGCCGAATTTCTATCGTCAAAGGGCGAACTTTCGAGGTTCGATCGGATCGATTTCTCCTGCTTAAAATGAATCACACGATGATTCGCGCGGAGATTTAATCGCCTACCTTAGAATGACGATTAGTCAAACTGGTCTACCATTAGACCTTCGAACTTAAAAGCGAATCAGTTAAGCGTATTGAGCTCATTAGTATTTAAGCTCAAGAGTATTGAAAATTGCTTGAAATTTTATACAATATTAATAGAGGTACCAAAGTAAAACCCTCGTTCGATTGATCATCTCGTTTCGTCAGCCAAAGTCCGCATAACGTAGTTTGACATTGAAGTTGGCACGAGAAAAATGTTAAGTAATCAAAGAAATTGATCGAATAGTGATAAATTCCTGAAATCTGTGATGAGACGTAAGTAGACGACGATGAAGCGCATACATTTCTTTTGCACGACACGCGGTCGTTGTTGCAAACTAATTGTAAGTAGGTACTCTGAGTCGAGCGTAAAAGCGAACGATGCCAGTCGGGGGAACAGCGGAGGTGGGACAGAGGGGAGAGCTGACATGCTACGATGGGCCTGAAAACGAAAATAACGAAACGAAACAATGTCGTGGTGACGTAATCGTGAACTAGGGCGGAAACAATTGTGGCAGACAAGTGCGAAGCGCCGGAAGCACACCGCCTCGGAGCTCGGAGCCGCACCGCGATCCAGGCGAATTGACGAAACGCGCGTGCACGTGCTCGCGTGGCCACGATCTCTGCCGACATGCGCTTACAATTAGATCTGTCCCACGATCGAGACAGTTCACGGTGAAAACTCGAAGATCATGACATAGTTTCGGATTGTACTTTACGTCGAGTAACGTTCGAATCTGAACTTTGAAACCAAATCTTTTTTTATGTAAAATTATATTTTGAGGAATGCGATCAGTAGAGAAATATAATGGGTAATGAATTTAAGCATTTTTGGAGATAAGGTCGAGCAAGTGCATTTTCTTACGCCTCAATAAATCCATAAAAATCCACGATCTATTCATCACTAATTGTATTACTATGACGACGACCAAACAACGATTTGCGGTTTTGTCGAGCCGCAAAAGAAATAAAAAAAGCCGGACGATCAGTGAAAACAGTACAATGGTTCATTATCGCCATCCATTGAGAACGAATTTCAACCTCGTTTATAACAGTCCCTCGGTTCTTTTCTTCTTTTTTCCTCAGCGTGAGTCAGGGATACGCCATTTGTTGTACTGCCACGAAAGTTGAGCCGTGGCGTAATTAGCCGGTCTATTTATTGGACGGTTTTCGAAACGGAAACGGTAACACACAATCCATGCGGCGGAAGGTTTCCGAGGATGAAAAGGTGCTATAGTCGGTACTTGCGGGTCTCAAACGAGAGCCCCCGTTTGCATAACACGTGGCACGGTAATAACGGTAGCATTTTCTCGATTGTGTCATCGCTCCTGAAGCGTCGTACGTATTCCCTCTGCGTCGCGAGCGTACCTTAGACAACGAGAATGACAACGACGACGACGACGACGACGACGTCATGTCATGTAGTCGAAGACCCAGTCGCGTACATAAATACTTTCATGTATGTACAACTGATAGATTGTAAAAGACAAGTGGAACGCCGTAGGTCTCGGCGATGCGCGCATTGGGACCACTGGGCCGCAGGAAGAGCTCGTTTTCAGAACAAACGAACCAGAAACGATTAATAATATAGCGTGTATACGGACAGAAAAAGCGAAAGTAGTCGCGTATACATGCCGGTGTCTTTTTAAACGCTGATCATTAACCGCGAAGGGCGAAATTTCCTATCGGGTTGCACAGGAAACCGTAGGTGTCTCGGCTCAGATTTAAGTGCATCGATGTGTGGTCGATGTCTGTTACAAAGAACGGAGTCACAAATTGCGGGCATTTCGCAAGACATTCTCCAATGCCTTGTACGTTATCCTTTATTCTTATTACTTTATTAACGAGCACAAGAATATGCGAAGGGAAATAGAAGCGTGACAGACTTAAAATGATACAAATATAAACTGAAAAGGAAAAAAGAGAAAATGAAGATAATTCCGTGATGCTGGTACGTGCGAAATAGTTTTTTTAGAACGAATAGTTTGATTAGAACGGAAGAGATTTTAGCAATCGAGAAATGATTCACTGAGATTCACCGCGCGCGCAACGGAAAAAAGGGGGACCGTTCCGTGACTACAACACGAAAGCCACCGGTGTTGGAATCGAGGAATTGCACCATTTGGGCAATTAGCACGAGCACAGTAGGCCGCACGCGCCTACACCGGCTGGCTCCCTGCCGTACAACATGAATGAGACAACGAGAGCGCGCTATTACCGCCTAACAACTTTGCCGTACTCATTATGAGACGGTGTACAATGCCGTTGCGGCAGAATCTCCCAGCGAATCTTTGACCTCTGAATTTGCATTTAAAGAGCATTCTAGATTCTGCCGTCCCTTTGTAATACTCAGCCGAAGCTTGATTCCTTTTGTCGGCGTAATTAACGCGAATAAAATTATCGTACTGTGTCATTATCTCATTAGCAATAACAAAATGTTTCCCTTTCTTTTGTTTCAGTCGTTCTTCGGGAGGTCGTATAACAACTTGAGCAGTATTTCCGAATGTAAAAACGGTGGAGAGTGCGTGATCAATAAAAAGAATCGCACAGCTTGCAAAGCCTGTCGGCTGAGGAAATGTTTACTCGTCGGGATGTCGAAATCGGGCTCGCGGTACGGGCGCAGGTCCAACTGGTTCAAGATTCATTGTCTGTTGCAAGAGCAGCAGCAACAGCAGCAACAGCAGCAGCAACACTACCAGCAGAATCTACCGAACCAGTCATTGACGCAACAACGGAAACCTATGAGCCCGCCTATCGGTATCCACCCGGGGCAACGAAAAGAGGATGTGATGTTGCTCGGTTTGGACGATTACAAAAATTCTACTTCCCCTAGCATCAGCTCGCCAGAGTCGCACAACAGCGATAGTTCCGTGGAAATTTCAGAGAGAAGGGCAGCCTTCTCGGGGCACCCGGGCTTTCGACCAATGCATTCGCATCTGCAACCCTCCGTGGCCGAGTTGTCGGCGTTGAGCAAGGAGATGATGAGTCTACCGCTCGGTTTCCACCTCGGTGGCATGTCTCTGATCCCGCCCGCGTTTCTACCACCGCCGAGCCTGACCATGTTCTCGCCTTACCACTTGTACGCGACGTCTCACGGGAGTTCCCACCCTTTGGTGCCCAACCACTCTTCGAATCTGCTTCGACACTCGCCTATGATCGAAGAGACGAGTAGTACAATGAGTGCGACGACGACTACCACCACCACCACGATCACCGTCGACGGGAACGATTGTGGAAATAATAACAACAACAACAACAACAACAACAACAACAACGATAAATACGCGCACAATAATAACGTGCAGACGTCGAGACAAAGCTCTTCGCCGACTGCAAAAACGGGAGAAACGTTTAACAAAAGATTCTATCTGGACGCGGTGTTGAAGAGCCAACGGACACATGGAGAAGATTCTCCAGTAGGATCGGTTAAAACGCGATCTGAAAATGATTCGCCGCCCTCCAGTCCGGTACCAGGGGCGTGCTGTCCACCGCCTCAGGACAATCCCATGGATCTGTCCATGAAATCGATCGTTACTTCTGCGAGCGACGAAACAGAAGACGAGATAGATATGGAGAGCGTAAGCGATAGAGACAGTCCTCCTCTAAAGAGGAAGTCAGCGCCTATAGATTTAACGACGAAAGCTTAGGCAGGAAACAATCGGTTAGCATTTTCAACTATGTTGGTCTTACGATCCTTCGCGGTTCTATGAAGTGAATCGTCGGCTCGTTTGTTTGCGTAGAACGGAATTAATTGGTTCCGAGCGTGGAAAGTGGCTAGACGAACGTTGCCAAGTACGGCGCGTGGGAAAGGGACGCGTGATATCGTAATCAATCGCGCTCCCTTTTCAATCAGAAAAGCAGTGGGTGTTCGAGCAAGATTCCCAGAATCCGGGTAATACCTTCAATCACGTCCTCCTTCGTTCGACGTGAATTACCGCGTCGAGACAAATCATTCGCGCCGAATAGTTAAATGCGATTCGCACGCGACAACAATCGCGCGTAAATACCCGCATCGGTTGGAAGGAATGAAGGATTAACGTCTCAATTCCGAGTAATCGCGGGAAGAATCGCGGAGTCACCGATCGACGGCTTGGTTGCGCAAAAGCCAATCGACTTTAACGAGTCCTCCGGTTTAATTAACGAGCACGCGCACTCCTGTGGTAATCACGGTAATGCTGGATCCACACTGTCAGATCCGAACCGGCTACGTACGCCGGTCAGGCGTCCGAAGGCCATAAAAACAGTGCCATAAATTTTATTACAAATTCTAAGCAAAAGTTTATAGAATCAGCAGGTCCCTCCTCGTAGGCGACGTCGAATCGATGCCGAAACAGAGAACTCTCTGTTCTTTAAGTTCATGCAGAAATCCAACGAAAACCTAAATACCGATTCGCGTTCGTCAATTATTTCTACTTTCTCTGAGAATTCTTTCATACAATTCTCTGAGACAAACGCATAATAAAATATAATCAAGGACCAATGATGTAAGGAACAATGATGTAAACTGTATGTATAGCGTGATAAGTATAAAAATCATTGATCGTTTGTCCTTATTATCATTTTTTATTAGCGATGTTAGGCTTATCTGAAATAATTGACTAACGATCTACAAGATTTTTACGCGAGAGAATCGCAAGCTAGGAATCCCTTGGATCTTGGACGGAAGGATACTTGAAATCCTCGAAACAGATTGAATCTACGAAACAAGGAGTCTTTCTAGAGATTCGGCATCGATTTGAAGTCGCTTTCGATGTAGACTGAGACCTCCTACTTTTACACTTTTGCCTGTATTCTATTCTAAAGATTCCAGCACTGATCTCGCTGCCTACTGACGTCTCAGCGACGTACGGCACCGGTACGGATAGTGCGGATACACTTTAAGACGGGAAGAGAGAGGAACAGGGCCGGGAAACCGGCGCGGCGATGACGCGTTCGTAGAAGAGCGGGAGAGCAGCGCCGGTGCAACCGCTGGTGTATCGGTTGATAAACACGTCAAACTGCGGGGTGCACGTGTTCCGAACGTGCGTTACAAACTGGCATACACGTGTAGAACGTTGCCAACCGCTTTATCTTACATGCGTTCGACGCCTGCCAATGTAAACGCCTCCGTCGCTGCTCTGCCGCCTCTTCTTTGCTTTTGTCCCGTACCTACCACTCGCGACGAAGGAATCCTCTGATATGAAAATCAGGCGTTCACCAATGTGTACACGGTTAATCGGGTGAACGCCACCCGGGATAGAACAAACACTTTTCCAGCCTCTGGGGTTGCGCTTGTCAAACACCGAATTGCTGTTAGGACACGCGAGACCCGTGCTTTGTTTCGCTTCTGATATCTCGAAGGTACTTAAATTTTAAATCCGTGACGGATCGTTATTCGACGAAAGTGATAATTTTTAGACAACGAACAATTGACATATTTCCAAGATTCGGCCAAAATAGTCATGATATGTACACGAGTCTGTATGTAAATATGGCGTGTTAAGTAGGTTTCTCGCAGCGATGTTCAGTCGTACAACGAACAGATATTCTTTAAGATTTTCTACACTTATGCTTCGTTACATACTCGTTATCTATGATTCTGAGCGTAGTCAGTAAACGGCCAGTATTTCGTGTAATGTATAATATTGTTGATATCGCGATACCCATTTCGAAGAAGTGCAATCATAGGTGTACTGTATTTAATTGATAACCGTGCATGGTGTAAATCCAATTGCGTAGCGAAGTGTTTCAGTTAGTAAATAAGGCAGGGACGAAAGTGTAAATACGTACATGCATAGTTAGGCAAGATTTGCCTATACGGGACCCGGACCAGTAAGCACTTACTTGTATTAGAGAGAGTGGGTAATAGCGTCTAACGAATTGCAACGTTCAGAATGATTTAAAAATTATGATCGGGCGTTACAAATAGAAATCACGTTTTACGTGAATCGGAATTTGTCAAACGCTTCGATAAGTGCATAATTACTTTAAATGCTGTACTTAATAAGTTTAAACAACCATATAAATTATTGCAGAACGAAAAAGTTAATTACAAATAGAATTATCGTCACTTTACTTCAAGCTATTGTTGCAAAACTATTATATACTACTTCACAAGTAAAATACAGATCATTGATTACCAGGGCCCTTATGTTTGTATGTATAAATTTCTTTTAAAAACTCACCGTTTTACTGATGCCGACATCCAAATTGTTGAAGTCGTTGACGTCATCAGGAATCCTTACCGCGATAGAACGTTGTTTACCAGTGAATACCACTTTTGAGCGATATCCCGAGAATCTACAATAATTATTAAATTATTAGAATTAGCGATTCGTTAGAGTCACAGCATCATTCACTGCCACATTAAACTAGCGAGCGCATTAAACTAGAACAAATTACTGTACAGAACTTTTATACAAAGAACATTGCAAACAATAATGTTAGTAAAAGAGTTGATAACCTGTTAAAAATATACGATTCCTTTTTTGAAACTTACCCTACGCTGCTTCCCAAACTGTTACGCATCAGACGATAGCGTTGACACATTCTTACAAGTTCTATCATGGACCTAATAAGAAACGAAAGTATTACATGGCGTTACAACTATTCAATGAATCTACGAATTGTCAACAAAAGCATGCACACGAAGTACATATTTATGCAAATTTGATGCAAGGAATAACCAAAATTAAAAATCGAATGCCAATTGCTTGGTGCAACGTATATTTTTATGGCTTTGCTGTGTTTGGTATCGAACAGGAACGGGTGCCCGTATGATTCGCGGTGTCAGAATTAAGATTTTCGCAATATCTCGTCGCGAAGCGCAAATATTACGTGAACCGAGCAAAGTAGAGTCAGTATTCTATGTTATTATGCAACTAACCTGTAGAGACAAGGTGTATCTGCAACAAATTAGCGGCTGACCAGGAAAAATTCGAAGCACAGCATCCCGCGTTTTATAACCAAACCGGAAAGGGAGAGGCGTAGAACGAAATATGAAATGGAAAATGGACCACTTACAACGTTAATCAATTCAACAATTAAGCAAGATTCTTTTATTTACTTATGCCCTTCATAAATAATTGCAGAATTTCTATAATCGGTTACTCGTATTTTATAATTTATATATTTTTCAAGTTGGATTAAGAAATTTTAATAAGTAGATCATTGATTAACGTAGTCCAGACCTGTTCGGCCCTTTTGAGCTGTCGTACGCGTCTTACGGTCTCAGTTAGTTTTGTTTATAAAAAGTGCTTGTTAATAGTTATCTTTTGCATGTATCGTGTAAGATAGAAAGCAGTTTCGTTTTACGATTGTGTTTTCGTGTGACGTATTCCGGAGACGAGAATCCCGAAGAAAAGTTTGAGGCAGTTGCCAGCGGCACCGTTCTACAGGAAATATGGAGGGAAAAGGTAGGATTTAAACACTCCGTTTAATTAAGAGAAAGTACCAAATAATGCTTCGTGCAAAGAATAACGTTACACGGAGTTAATTGACGTGGCGGCAGAACGAAATCTAAATTTTAACTAAGTACGAGTAGAATCGGTACGACCTTACTTATCGAGCATGTACATCCGTGTCATCGGCATCTTTGAGAGCCGGATGCGTACACAGGCTTGTAGTTCGCATTTTCTGTAGATTTTCACATTTCACGTTTACTTTCGAACGCGTCGCTGTAATACAGATTAGATTTCGAAGCCGTTTGTTCACATGGCAATTTAACGTGCGGTTTAACGAGTTCCTTGAGGATCGGGCTGCGTACCATAGAATATCAAACACTCATTATGCAGGCCACGGGTCCGTCGCGTTTGGCATACTTTAATTTTGTCGAGAGCCAAAGTCTTTAATTGCAAGCCACTATCGATTTACTTCAGTTAATTACTAATTAATAGTGGGGAAAATAGTAGATGAAAGTTCGCATGCAAACTTGGTACTGATATATAAAAGTACAAAAAAATTCTTGATTGATTCTTTATTCTGAATTGTATATGCCTTATAATTTTTCATACTCTTTTTCACGTTTAATTATAAATTTCCATTTGATGTTATGTTCACAATATTATATGAAAATTACTATACTTAAGGAAAATATGCAATTATATATATATACAAGCTTGTGAAATGATGAAGTCTTATACATTGTTAAGGGGAGGACTTGACGTGATTTAGTACTGGGAGACTTGGTGTAAACACTTCGTAATCTACTATAGAGAAATGATAATCTCCCATAAGCACGGTGTTAGAAGCTCGTTCCCCATCATAGCTATGAGGAAGATTGCTATAACTGTCCATATTCACGTTGCAATTGCTAGAAATCAGTAGATCAGCTCCTGCTCCAAAAATAGGTCCAATACTACAACAGTATCAAACAATTAATTACATCTTCACGTTTTTATATCTCTTGGCCATTGACATAATTCCACTCACTCTGGATGATAGCAGATCGCGAAAGGTTTCTTCACAATATCAAATTTTGTTGGAGGAACATCTTGGTTGTTCGTTAAAGTAAACAGAAATGCTTTTTCCGAAAAGATATAATGTCCTTTGGCATTCGTTTTACCCCACGGTGCGTCGCTAAAGCCTCCACAAATTTCTCCCCGAGTTCCCTGTAAAATGATGAAAAACCATTGATTTAGAAACTTGGTTCTGTATAGTTAAGTGACGTACTTACCAGTGCGATTACGTATGTCGGACAAACTCCGTCGCAGTGTCGATGAAACGATGTCGCAGAGTAACCGTGACTAGAAGCTCTGAAACACGTTATGTTAATTGAATATTAATAAATGAAAATGTAATACGCGCTGGATATTGTTCGTCGTTCAACATACCGATATACCAAACGCCAACTTTGCTTCGGTGATCCGTACCACTGATTTAAAAGACGTTGATAGCCCATTTTGTCCCGCGACAAAATTTGCGATCCAGGGAAAAGAAACGGGCTCACCCGCGGCTGCATCCTCTTGTCTTGACAAATTTCCGCGTACTTGTTCGGTAGAGCCGCGTACCTATACCTAAAGCAGAGCAAAACAAAATTCGAACGGCTTCGAGGGCAGGGAGGCATCCGGGCAAACCATACCTTATCGGTTTTGAGCCACTTGATCGATCGGGATTGAAAAATTCGTACCTCTCCAAGGATAGCTCCATTGGCACAGCACCGGTCGGCTCGACTTCCTCCGCGAACACCTGGCTGTCGATTAGCAGCAACCGGACATGATTTATCACCCCGGATAAATGTTGGCAAACCCTCACGCGCTCCTCCTCTGTCCAGTGTTGAGTAGGCTGCGTCACCCCTGCCTAGGAGCGTGGTCCGTACGGTTAAGCGTTCCCCTTAACTCGTAATTCTAAATTCCGATCCAAGAACCTAAGGACCCAAGGACCCGGTAATAATCGTATGCGACATAAGGTCTGCGACCTTGCACGACATACGCACGATCAGAGCGTTAAGGTTGTACGAGCCTTGTCAATTTTTATTTACGGACTCATACAATCTTAAGCATTCTTGGAATTCTCTTTTTCAAACGGATTCGAAGTCACTCGGAAACGGAATAGAATTTTCAAGAGAAAACAACTGAACCTGATATTTAGCCCAGTTTAACACTGCCCTCCAGACATCCTCTTCCTCTAATCCAAGATAGTCCGAAGATATAAGCTTCACCAGTGCATCTTTTGGTAGGTTGCAAAAAGCAGTTGTCTTCACTGTGTCTACTGCGTTCTCCCCAATAAAAGCGAAACATCTTTCGATGAATGATGAACAAGCTCCTTTGCCACCTAACACGAAACAATGTTTAATAATACGTATTTCGCTTCAAGACTGAAATTCATCTTCTTAAGTGACTCTGCTTAATTCTAAACGTTTTGTATTCTTATCACAAAATATTTTTAGCAATATTTCAACTGGGGCCTACAAATGAGTGCAAAACACGAGCTTTGATTAAAAAATATTCAATGTTTATTTACTTCGTATCAATTACATTAATGGTTCCATCGTGTAACATTTACATCTAAACTTCTCTGTAGTACAAAACTGGCTTGTTTTTATTCAATATACATCACATAGTCTCCAATTAATTAAATACAGACTTCTACATTTAGATGTTTCATGTGTACACTTTTCCATTACAAGAACGAGTAGTGTTTTGTAATTAAGAACAATGCCATCAATGCACATAGCACTTTGAATGGGACATCTATTAGTTTGTCTTTGATTTGTTTAAATTGAATACTTCACATGGAAATGGTTTGGATTGTATTTAATTCCCTTCTTCTTTAATGCTGTTTACATCGCATCTGTCGGCATGTTTTCCCATCCAGACACGTGATCGTAGAAGATAAACAATGCGCTTTCGTTTGTTCTAAAACATCCTCCGAGGTTATGGTCGTTTTAGTTTGCTCCTGGATTCGTGTTTTGTATTAATGTTATATTGTCGCCCTTCAGCATGATTCGTCCAAGCGGTTTCCTGTTTTTCGTCTTCATATGATATTCCTCTGCGTCGTCCAACACCAAATTCATGTATTCGTCGAATCCGACGATGTGACCCTCGATTCTTAGGTTTATGTTCTCGAACAACCAAACTTGCACACGTGAACGGTTTTGTAAGTATCGAAATATAAGGTTGATGGGCTGTACCATCACCTTTTGAACTTTCTGCGGCCCTTTGTACGACATTTTTATGACAGTTTTCAAAAATTAGTAAGCAGCGGTTAATAAAACGCGTGCTTTGTAATAGCCAGACGCCGGGAAATGTAACGTCCACTGGTAGCGTCGCGTGCACACAGTTGTGCCAATTGTTCCCTCCTGTTCTCCTCTAGCATTTTCTTCAATTTCGATTTACTTGGATTTTTTAAATTTTTTACACAATCAGAATTTGTAGAAAGTAGAAAATGGCTATTTAAAATGTTTAAGGAATCGCCTGATATATTTTTCGTGCTTATATAAACTTTTGCTAGGGATAGTCATGATTTCCTAAAAACTCCCTATGATGTGCTGCCTCTGCGCCAAGCGTTTCAAACACTCATGTAACCACAGTCGATAACAGATTGTACAGTAAGATAAATACAAGATGTAAATTATTTGAAAATTTCATTATCTGACAATCAATGCCATTATGTATAATTCCCCAATAAAGTATTCTACATAAAAGGAGATTTATAAGAGGAAACGCGTGTCCTTTAATCATGTGTGGATTACTGATTTAAAATTCTTAATTACATACATTTAAAAGTTGAAACGTCGGGGTAGATAGTTATTATTTTGAAGAGCACGCGCGTTTGCTGAATATTTTAAGCATTCCCTTTTCTTCTTATCTCAAACTCGGCAGGCCCGAGAATCGTGATTGTTTGATATGAAAACTTTTAATAGCAAGTCGTTAAATAACTTACCGAGAACTCGCTCTTGGGCATCGAGAGCAGCAGTCAAAAGAGCACACGCGTTCCCGGGACTAAGAGTGGCGGAGACGTGTTCTTCGCAACTTCTCCAAAGTTCTTCGAGCCCGAGTTCCTGCGCGAGTCCGAGCATCTCGAAGATACCGCTGTCCTGTAGCATGATCTATGGAAAAGTTATATGGACTGAAACTCGGCCACGCTTAAAGGGTCACCGCAGAACTTCCGAGAATTTCGTTCTCTCCCTGAAACTCCGTTCGAATCTATCTGAGATGCTATTTACCTTGCCCGTGTAAATATAATGAATGAACTGTCGAAACGTCTCCGGATGCGCGTGAGGCATACGCACTGGCGACGGGTTCCCCGGTGTCCCGATCCTCTTCGCTCCCGAGAAGTTCTTGCACCTGTGAAATCGAAGCAACCGTATCGATTCCGAACGATAATTGCCACGGTACATGGGCTAGACGGATGACAGCGAGCGAAGAGCACTGGTTTTGAATAGTGCCGAGAGTAAATACGCTCTGGGTGCGTGAAACCTTCTAACGAACACCCACCCACTTCGCCTTTCGTCACCTCCGCTCCTACTTCTGGCAGTGTTTCTTGCTACAAAAGGGCTTAATTGACTTCGTCAGGAAGCTTCGTTGCCACAAGAGTATTCGTAACATACGCAGCCCAGCTTCAGTTCCCTGCTCCTCTAAAAATTAATGGCAACCATCGAAAAGTCACCTCTCAACCCTTTTTCCCTACGGCGAAGCTACGTTCCGGAGCTCGGAAGAACAAATCTTTTCTGACACTTCGAGGTAAAAGCGGGAATCCCCCATGACCCATTGGAAGAACATTCGATCTCGGTTTTTCTATCACCCGCAATCCCTCACATCGCACGCGCTGCGAGCAGACGTACAGATGGAGGGTTTTTAATATCGACGAGTTTTAAAAACGAACAGTACTTCCTTTTTTTATTTAAGAACCGACGATTCACATCTTCTACTATAAACTGTATTGTACTTAAAGTTACGTCTCTTCCTCAAATGAATAAATTTATATTTAACATGAATGAGAAAAAAGATTAAAACATTAAAAGATGAGAGGAGGTACAAGACACTGAAATACAAGCGAATCTTTAAGCCTTTTAAAACTACTAAAGACCACAAAAACGACCACAATTTCTAATACTTCTAAGCTGTGGAATGTAAAGAAAATGGTTTCGCGTGCCAGAAACGAAGAGGTCGCAATAAATACGTACGAGTTCTTACAATGGGGTAAAGCGTGGTGCCAGCGTACGTCAGTATCGAATCAAAAGAAAATCCGTCAAAGGGCCCGAGCGCAAATGGAAAAGGCGTGCACGCCGGTTCTTTGATATTATAACCGACGCGTTAACAAACGCTCGGCTTCGTCGACAGGAGAGCGCGAAAGTTGGAAAAATCGTGAGGGGGGAGGGCAGATCCCACGGAACATGCCGAGCGTCGACAGAGGAAAACTGGTGCTCAAAAAAATTAAAAACAGTGGTGTGCAGAAGCCAGAGGTAGATGTACGCCGTGGATGCAGCCCTGCGTCGATTTTTAACAGACCAAAAACTTCTAGCTTTATATTTTCGCCCCGCGGCTCGGAACTGATGCGGGTATAATATCAAAGCGACGGCCAAAGCATTTACTTCCGTAAATTAGAGGGAAATATTCGAATATCGAGGAGACTTCAATAATTTACTTCGCGCGTACTACACAGTGAAATGCTTCCACATACAAGTTCCCGTCAAACTGTTACGAGATTACCTATGTACGTGAAATTCGTGTCAGAGGGAATTCGAAAATGCTCGCAAAGCTTTTCATTCGGTGCTTTTTAGTCGATCCGAAAACGTGGTCAGTAATTCCGACTAACGGGAGTATCAACGTACGAAACTGTGCGAAACCTGGCGAGGATGAAAAAATATTAGGAGGGGAAATAAAGGTAGCAACGCGGGGCTGTGTTCGCTCGGTGGCGATGCGGTAGTACGTGGAACGATGCGAAAGAAGAGAAGAAAGCGGCAGAAGGCGAAGTAGGGGTGAAAAATGAGGACGAAGTCGCTCCAGGAGAGAAGCTTTTCCCTAATCACAGACGAACGCCGCAGTGGAATCAAAGAAAACCGAATATCAGCGAGTGACGCCGAGAAAAGAATAGGGCACCGTTCGTTCGCGCGCGCGTCTGGTATGACGACGAGGTGTCACGAGGGGGGCGGGGATGGTGGTAGCGTAGGTTCACGAGCCTCGACGTGGAAAGAGAGGACACCGGGGGTAGGGGACCTAGCGGGAAACGAGGGTCGTGACTGCTTGGTTTCACGGCGGCAAGGGTTGAATGTCGCCGCGGGCTCTGCTACTAACGATCAAGCGTGCGATTATATAGCGGCTCCGCCGATCTCCGTGCAAAAACCGCCTCCGCTTCCGGTGCACGGGAGTCAAATTCGCGTCACACCTCCTCGTTTCCCGTTCCCGATGAAACGGCAGGCCTCCTATCCGTTCTTCTTTCCCGGTCCATTATCGTATCGTGGCGCTACTTCTCGGATCCAAATGTATAGCATTGTCGCTCCAATGCATAATTACTGGAGAAAGTGTGCCGATAACGAATGGCCCTTTTCCAACTGAAAATCCATCTGCTCATCGATGAGCATTTTCTTCGAAATCGAGGCTTCCCGCGAGCTAAAATTACGGGTGAATTCGCTGATTGAAATTTAGGGCTCGTTGATTACGCGTCCACTGGTAATTGCTTGCAGATTTCCTGGAAAACAGAGATTTCCTTCTGAATCAGTTCGACGCACGCTGTCGCTCTACGATCGGTACCTCTCTGCGTAAATTAGCGTTAGTAAATCAAATTCCGCGTCGAAGATAAGGGGAACGTGCTATTTGACGTATTAATAGCGGTCAGTTCCACGCGCGGTTCAATAGAAACGATGGGGATTACGTTAAAGTACCATTGAGCGGCACCGGAGCTTGAGCTTGTTTTTCAATTTCTTTTCTCCCGGTTGTCAAGCATCGTTCTCATCTGCGTCGCATTTCGAAATGACAAGGACTACAAGAGAGGATGGGGGTTTCGAGCGGGTGGAGGGATGAGGGTCACGACTCTTTGTCAGGATTTTCACCGGACTGGAGAGCACCGCGTAGTTTTGAGTGCGGTCGCGTATTGTCCATTCGTTTCTCCTACGGACGCCTGTCACGAGCATGCGTAACTTAATTTTCCGAGACCAGTGTCAACGAAGCGAGTTACCCAACGAAAGAGAGAGGAGAACGACGCTGACAAAGAAAAAGCAAGGAAGGAGGATCGATGACAAAAGATCCGACGTTGCCTTCCACGCCCTGATATCAAAAGGGTTCACAGAGAACATCATAATTGACTTTACAATTAGCATCGAGCCTATCTAATGGAATGCCGTTGCCTCGAAGTTAAGATCCCTCCGCCTAATATCAAACCGAACCCTTCGTACAACAATTAGGATTCCGTAGGGTCGGAAATGCACGTCTGCCACTGGTGAATCGTTCGCGAGAGAGGGCATTTCTCCTCTTATTATCCAGCTAATTAGAACGTTCGATCGGCTCGTTTCGCCGTAACAATCAGAGCCCCTTAATTAAAATTCATCGCCACCTCGAACTTCGCTGCTCGTACCGCGTTCGTCCCAAAGGAACTTCGATGACTTGGCGGTTTTCCTAGAACCAAGAATTTTTCATAAAATTTCGTTCGATCGAACATTGTTTCGAGTACCCTCCCAGTCGGATACTCTTTCCCCTCCTTCCGACGAAGAAACAAAAAGAGGACGCGTATGCAGCACAGGAACAGGTGAATTGTAACATATAAAGTCTCTGTGACTTTTAGAATCTAACGAAGTTATTTCCATTTGTGGTTTCGGTGAAAAGTTAGATCCATTCTTTCCCTGTAGCCAGAGGGGAAAGTTTTGTAACGCAGTTACTGAGAGAAGCAAGTTTAATTGGACGAGAAACCGAGGAGTCACGGTGTCTCGCAAGAGTTTCGAGAACCGAAAATATTTTCGAGCGCTTCGTTATGCTACGTATGTCTTCGCATTTATATTGCGAAATGCATGAAAGCCATCGTATTGCGTCGCGATGTTAATTCTCCGTTTTTTGGGAGACGACAGGATCCATTGTTTTTTTTTTTTCGCGATATGTACGTGTTTTCGTATTCGTTCCCCGCGTGATTTCTCGCGTCTGTTTGCGGATCATTCCCAGTCTCCAAGGAAATCCAAGGTAGATCGATCGACGAGATGCGAGTTGCTTTAATAAAAATTACGATTAACAATTAATTCGGTCCCAGGATGCGTCGCGCCGTTCGCGAGCTTAATAAAATTTCTGCCTCCCGTTTGCACCGTTCATCCGGAGTTTCCCGGGTCCCCGGAGACGGTGAAAGATATCGGGAGGAAAAGAAAATAATATAAATTGTCTCATTGTGGATCTCACGTGGTGAAATGTTTTTCCCGTCGCAACACGGATATCGACATGTACCATAGGCGAGATTAATTCAGAGCGTGTCTCGAAGCGCATTCGACGTTGAGACAAAAATACTGACCTCGCTTGGAGGATAATTCTATGAGCGTACACCGGCGTCTCGTCGCGTCCCAGCAGAAAGACGATGTCAGCTGTATCTTTGTCCTCGGACAGTCGTGCCAGGTCTTCCAAAAGTCTCGGTACACCAGCTAAACCTGCCTCGCCAGATACTCCCGCTGCTCCCGGTGCCGTCCCCACGGCCACGGCTCTGGTTCCCATGACGGTTAAATCGGAAATCAGCAGCTGTGTATGAAAGGAGCCAAAAGTTAATTAGTAAGTCCAAATTCTCGTTCAATTTCATGGTTCTCAGTCTAGAGGTTGATACGAGATAATCCGGGATCTACGTCTAAATGTTTTACAACTATATCTAAGGACGGGCGAAGTTTTTTAATCATAACTTTCGAAGGGTGTATATATTTTGTAAGAAGTTTTAAGTTCCAATCCTCTGTGTATGAATTTCCAATTATTCTTGCGAAGTTCCTTCGATACTCTATATCTTGCATAATTAACAAAGGCTATTTTAATCCACGTCTTCCGGAAAAGTTACTTTTGCTCAAGTGCCGCTGTGACTTTTACTAGTTAACCTTTCTTCGCGTCCTCAAGACAAGCAGGTTAATTAAGGCGGCAACGGCGAACGACGTTGTACAGGCATTTAAACCGATCACGCAAGACTCGACGGTCTTGACGAAAGACTCGACTAATTTGCGATAATCCGAAATTAATGGGGCCGGCAGCAGGAATAAATCCAGCTGACTGATGACAGGGAGAGGAAGCGTGAATGGCGGGTGGGCGGCCGCGTGTGTCATCGTCTCGAACACTTTCCGGTCGCATTCGGTTGACGAGCTCGTCACCGGCCCGGTGCGAGGTGGAAAAAAAAAAGCAAAACCGATTAACGCACAATCGGCGCTAATTGCACGATTAATATTTGATTTGCACCGCGTCGCGACGCTGTGCCGTCCCTCCTCCACCTCTCGCCTCGCTCTCCCTTTCTCTCTGTTCGTATCGTATAGCCACGGCCGGTCGATCGACGCCGAGGATTTTGTGTCACGGCGGATGCCTGATTCCCTTTTAATTAGTTTCGGTTTTGTAGTTTTCGAGCGTGTCACCCGCGTCGATCGCGTATTCCCGGACGCTCCCGCTCTCCCTGGATCTCCTCGCGTTCTCATCCCGCATTCCGATGCCGGGTGTGCAATTCGATTAAAAAGCCATCCGACGATGGTTTTGTTTACCCCGGTAGAAGGCATAAAAAGTCTATCCATGATCAGCCGACGCAAACCTCGAAATGCACGAACTATCGATTCCATGAATTAGCGGAAACGATTGATATGTAGTGTTACGTCAGAACGATGGAAATGTCTTCACAGACATACGAAAGTTGAGCAATTACGTTTTTAAAATATATTCAGAGGAGAACTGCAATTCGTACGGTGTTTAATCACTCGCGAATCACCACTGCGGCTTTTACGGTTATCATCGAATTTAACTGCTCGATATACATCGAATTTACTTCGTGTCCTATAATCGTCCTGTGTATAAATAAACACGGTATCAAGCAAAACTGTAACGAACATTTACTATCAAACATTACTATCAATATTAACCAGATTTCATACATCATTCAAAGGAGCATCGTTATCTTAAGCGTTTAACACTGACCAAGAGCGTACCGTTTAAAAAGCGAATGAAACTTACCTGACAAACGCACTTTTCTTGTCTCACCTTCGCGTGTCGATCGACGCGAGCGTGTACGAACGAGCCTAGCGTCCGATTGATGAGTCTAAGCCCTCTGCTGCGAGCAGAAGCGTTGTTTGCGTGGCACACGTGGATGATTATTATGCTCGCACGTGAAACACTGCATTTTCAACCGATTCACCGCGTCTCTACGCTCTCACGGGGCGAAACATTGTTCTCCTCAAAAAAGAAACTCCTTTCCACTTGCCTCCCTCCGTGCGACTCTTACTCTTCCTCAGCGCCGTTGTTCTCGAACGCGATCCCGCGGGTATCGCGGCTGTGTCGAAAAACCGCGGCGAAAGCGGAGGAAAATGTAGCGTGGCTCTGTTTCGACCGGAAGTTTCGAGGTTCTCGCGCGAGGTATTTCTCCGTGCACGAGACGAGTTTTACGATCGCTGGACCAGACCTGGCTCCTCGGTCCTCGCCGCCTTCCTCGGGCCCTTCTCCTCTCGTTCTCTCCGCCGCGGTCAGGTGAGTCCGGGCCCAGGGCCTCTTTTCCACCAACGACGCTTCCCTCCTCGCTCCTCTTGTTCTCGCGTGGCCAATGCTCCTGCAAGATCACTCCTCCTTCGGCCCGTTGTTGCCAGATCTTCTCTGGAGCACGCCGATCGCACGATCAAAAAGGATACAGCCGCGCGCCGGGCTGCCTGCCTCTCTTCTCCAGGTAGCAACGAACGCGATCTCCAGACCTTAAGCTGGTACTTTTCGATCGACGCTGTTTTTATCATCCTCGCTGTTTATCCACGTTCCGCCCTTTGCTCTTCGTAAATAATGGCAGACTCCGTTATTCGGTTTCCTTCCAATTCTTTTTATACTCGTTTTAAAAGACGAATTTCCATCGGCAGATTTCCCCGGTCGTATCGATATTGCCGCAATGCGGCGCTTCCTAGTTTTCCCAACGAAATGAGATCGTGTCTTTTATTCGCGCCGTTCTCACGGAGCCAAGTTCTTTTTCCGGCAGATCCATCGGATCCAGACTGCTCGAACTCGAGCTCTCGCCGCCGATCACGTTGCTACGAAGTTCTCCTCCGTTTTCGGTAGTCAGTTTACCCCGGCTTCCAGTTCGCAATCTCCGCGCCTGATGCGTTTCTGATGGTCTCCGAGTTTTATTTCAAAGCGAGGATAAACGAGCAAATTAAAATAAACGGGAAAACCGAACGCCACGTAAAAACGAATAACTTGTAGAGCAACGTAATTATTGCAATTACCTTAGAGAAATGGTCAACGGAGCTGAATGGAATTTTCTTCCAGTAATTAAATTTATTTGTGGCCGGGGTTCCAATTAACAGAAACGTTCGTTCTTCCATCGCGGGGCACAATTACCTCGGAATCTGGTTAACTCGTCGGTGCAATTTGTAATGCCTGATTTCTGCTGCCGTAATTCCGTAAGGATACGCTTTATCTTAACGCGCTTCTCATTTAACTTGCCGTTTCATTCTCCGCGGAACCGCAATATTACGCGGTCAGAGATGATAAATCGCGAATACCAGTTGTGTATACCCGTCCGTCGCCAAATGTAGCGGAGTTTCTGGTTGATTCCTTGGTGTTCGTTCTCATCGATCGACGGTAAGGCACGTGGTTTGCTCAGTTGATGAAAAGGTATCGATCGTTGGTTTGAGCCATCGATCAAACGAACGAATACAATATATCCATACCAGAACGCGCTGGTATGAACACGAAAAAAATTGCAGTTCGAAAGCAATAAAAATAGAAGCTGTTGACTTTGGAGTTAATGAAATGCTCGCACAAATAGTTTTTATGACGAGCAGTTGCACATCTACGCTGTTCAAACATGCCGAGTGCAAAATTGTTTGAAAACGATTGTGTGTAATATTTTGTGTAACGTAGCACGCATTACGGGCCCGAGTGTCCTCCGACCGGCGATGAGACGCGAATTTCCTACGGTAATATCCGAGGCAGTTTTTCTCCCAGTCTGGCGAAAATGGAATGTCCTCGTGGCTGGCAGTAATAATCGGGGAAAGATCACTTAATGGCCCTCTAGGAGAAGAGCCACCGCTATTCGCACCTCCGCGAATTTGCTGTTAGCGCCTAACAAAATTGCCGCATTATGTCGTTTAACGCCCTCGGAAATACGGCTCGCGCATCGGGAAGAGAGAATAAAAGTTAGCTGGCTCCGGCGTGCGTGGATGGGGAACGAGGAGAGTGACATCGAGCGAGCTGGAGGGGCTGAATGAAGCGAAAAAGAGAGACGGGACACGCAGGAACGGGCGGTGGGCGCACCGCGTCGCGCCGGGAAGAGAAAATTACACGGGATGTCCGCGTGATAGAACGATGCGACGCGACGACTCTAACACGGGGAAAGGTGTCGGAGAGTGCGAGAGGCAACGGGCGCACGGGGTCCGAGGATCGCGCTGCATAATAGATGCGTCTGCCGCGCTTTAGCGCAAACAGGAACAAATTCCTCGGTGCACTCGTTGCAACAATTGAATCGGTAATCAACCCGACACTGATAATCGAATCAGCCTCCACGGTACACGCGTAATTGAAATTTCGCAGCCGACCACTGCAAATATTCGTCCGCCCGCTCTACGCCGCGCTCTTTGTCCCTTTTTCGTTTCGCCCCTGTCTCTCTCGTTGTCAATCGCGAAATTGCCTTCGACGAGTTATCCACGTTGGTCGAAAATTCTGCCTATGGCGTATCGACGAATCTTACAAATTGTCGTTGCTGGACATGGGTAGAAAAAATAGGAGATAAAATCGATCCCGGATGATCGATAGCTATGTCGATCTTATGCGAACGGGCTCAATTTAAACGGTGACGCGTACACAAGCCGCGTGAGATAGCGTTAACTAGCGTCGAAAAGTGGAGAATGTCGAAAACAGGTGCGACGATTTAAGCCGACCTCGCAGAGGAATTTCATAATAGTCGAAAATTTTATATTTTTATTATCACGACTGCTTATTCATTCTTATTGCGAAGAAGTGAGACGATTTTTCACGCCTACGGATGAGCATTAATTTCTATTTGAAGTTACTAAATACATGCTTCCATGAGATTCATGAACGGAACACGCGAATAGAATCTGTACAGTAAACTATTGTCTCATAAAGTGATCAGATGTCCTATTATTACGGTCACACGTCGATGCTCCTATTAAGCTGATCCTGCCTCATTTTCCCGACGCACAGGAACAGAAATTAATTATCGTCGATGAAGAAAAGAAATGGGCACTTAATTAACGCGACTGAGCGAGTCAAATGTTCTCGTTCGCGCAATGGTGTCATCATTTCCTCGGACTTCATTTCGCAGAAACGTGAATAAAAAGATGTACGGGGTAGAGAAAGAGAGAAGGACACGAGGAACCCGTGTCGGTGTTTCGCGTAAATTGACCCTGAAGGAAGGATTTCTGTAAACCACTTTTATTCCATCCCTTTTGTGTCCATCTCGTCGTGACTTTGGCTGAAAGGAAGACCCCAGCGCGCCGCCCCCGTCTATGGAAAATGCGCGGTTGGCATTCGCGCCGCGGCTCAATATCAATTGTAAC